TCTCCGCAGGGTGGCCGGGCGCACCCTTAGAGACAGGGTGAGGAGCTTGGTCACCCGGGAGGAGCTCAGAGTAGAACCGCTGCTCGTCCACATCGAGAGGAGCCAGCTGAGGTGGCTCGGGCATCTCTTTCGGATGACTCCTGGGCGCCTTCTAGGGAGGTGTTCTGGGCATGTCCCACCGGGAGGAGGCCCCGGGGAAGACCCAGGACACGCTGGAGGGACTATGTCTCTCAGCTGGCCTGGGAACGCCTCGGCATTCCCCCGGAGGAGCTGGAGGAAGTGTCTGGAGAGAGGGAAGTCTGGGCATCTTTGCTTAGACTGCTGCCCCCGCGACCCGGTCCCGGATAAGCGGAGGAAAATGGATGGATGGATGGATTCTACAGATAGCGACAGGACAATGAGTCTTCTTATCATAACAAGCCATCGTATTTCACAAGACAAAACCAAAGGCTACAGTGATGTAGCAAACAGACATACAGCTGGTTCTTCATCTTGCTGTGACAATAGCTGGACTCCACAGTGAAACCTGCATCATGACACACATGGTATTACATGAAAACAAGACTTGCTAGCTTGGAATGAAAATGGGTAAAAGGCTTGTCCTCCTAGTGTCAAAGTAAATACCACAACAGGCACCACACAGGGGAAACAAGAACTGAAAGCCTTCAGCCACACGAAAAGATTTAAACAAACTGAAACTGCAGTAGACATGCACCGACAGTAGAGCAGGTATCATGGTACTTGGCTGGACAGGGGTGTGAGGTGGAACAGTCTGAGGAAAGGTGATCCTGCAGCCATGAAAAGACCGTGTAATTTGAGCTCTAACAGTTAAGTGACTGTTCGATATGAGGGCGAACCACTATTTATCAGGCAGAGCAACATTTTCCAGCTTCATACAGGTGCTGTACTGACGTTCAGCTGATACTAGGGCAGGACCAGTCACCAGTGGTTATTGGCCTCTGACAACAGCGCAGCGACGCAGAGCGCGCCTCCTGGCTTTATTATGGTTCATAATAAGGGAACATCCGGCCGGACCTCGAGTCTCCGGTAAATGTAAAAATACAGTAGCAAATGCTCTGTGACACAAAGAAAGCTGCTGAGATCACATCTGTAGTCCGTGATGCAAACTGATCACGCTCATCTCTATCAATAGGCCATTTATCAAGAATGATAAACTTAAAGGGGTCAGAACCCGGCGCTATGGCGCACAGTGACCCCTGTTTACGCATATGAAAACGCAACACATCGCAAGGAAACGATGATGGGAAGACATGGCAGTATCCTATCGAATACTCCTGTGCTTATTAGCGTCGCACATTACAGCCTTCGTGACGTGGTGTCCCAGCTTACTGCACCGCAGACTCAGCGGAAAAAAACTAACAAAGGTTTGCTCGGACACAGTCAACATTACGTCTCCTGTAGCCTACAGTGTCAAACGTATGCTGAATAGACAATCCCATGGTATAAAATTAATAAAAGAACAGCAGCTGACACAAGCGCGTTGCTGATTTTTTGCTGCAGCGCAGCCGCTCACATTAAGATTGTTTTGCCATACCTTAAATCAGAACAGGCTACGGTGACCGTCGGCAGAGACAGACTGTCGGCCTCTACAGCGGGCAATACAAAAGGGAAATTGTCACGCTATCACATCTCAGCACAGTCCGCACGCACGTCCGTTCGTTCGTATGTCCGACCGACAGCCAGCCACCTCCTTCAGTTGGATTTAATAAATCGAGAGCAGCACCGGAGACGCAGGTCCCTCGGTGTGGAAGGACGCATAGCTGCATTGAACCAAATGTCGGTCCATATTCCCACTGACACAAAAAGAAGACACTCACCACAGCAGGATATTTGGCACCGAATGACGATGTGGTGTTTATTTCACTGCCCCAACTGAGCAGCTGTGTGTAGTGGTGCGTCACTGACTTCCGCGTTAAGATGGAGCAAAAAAAAAACCTAAAAGCAAATAAGGAATTAAAGGGAAGGCGGCGCACGCGTGCACACGGACGACTGGTGAGGATGTTGAGAGTTGAGGATGAGAATGATGAAGGTAATGAAGAAGAAGATGATAATGGAAGCTTAAAGCTGGAATTGAGCTTACTTATTATGGTATATGAACTGAAAAATTGAAAGCTTCCATAATTAATATTTTATATCAGTTGCTCATAGTTAGGTGTAATGTAAATATGATGCTGGTAGGGACAAATCCACAGAGAATTATAACCCAACAAAAATAAACAAATAAATTTAACTCTACAATTTCTCTCTATGAAGTGCTTTAGCATCTTTAATTGCTGGGGTTTGATAATCCAGCAGCAACAGGCAGCAATATGCTACCTGTCTAGCACCAAACAGCAGAGCAGAGAGACAACTACATGTTGAACATAGTGGAGCATTTAGGAGTTGAAGAGCCAGATATTTTTCTCAGGGGTTGGCGGAGACCAAAACAGAGTGAAAAGGAGAGAGGACAGAGACACAACTCAAAGGCTGCATCTCAAGCATCTTATACGATTGTTCCTTAGGGGGAGGTCCCAAGACTTGCATCTGCCCTGAGAAGTGAGGATCAAGGAGGCTGCCCCAAGAAGCCACGAGTGACAATAAGGACCCCCATTTTGCTGAACTCAGTTAGTGACTGGACGCTTCAGATGAAGGATCAGATGAAAGTACATCTCATGCCTCTTAAAATATGTTTCCTTGATTCCTTTCTCCTTGCATCTTTTCTTCTTATGTGGCTGGGACTAAGATGCAAGTGAGGTGCATATAAGAGACTTGGGATGTACCCCAAGTTAATGCTGATGTCTGTTGTGAAGCTTTTTTTTAGCTGTTGTGTCATATTTAACACAGATATGAGTGAATATCCATCTCATCATCTGACTCACTGACAGATAGCGAATAAGAGTATTTCCCAAACAATTCCTTTAAAGTAGATGATGTGATGATGATAAACATAATTTCTATTATTTGTCATTCTAGACTTTCCTTGTAACATTACTAACATAACACTTACTTTATGCATAGTATTCAATAGACTTCTTAGCCAATAGAAAATAACTACTAGAAGAAAGCTTCAGTCTGCCTGAATACCCTACAGAGTACTGCACTGAGTTAACTGTAATTCCACACCAAGAGAGCCCCTGACTCACAGTGCAGCATGTTGGGAGAAGCTCACTCATCAAACAATAGCATGCATCCTCTGTTGACTCAAAGCTTTAGCTCTATCTCTGTGAAACCTGTCGCCGTGTTTGTGCTTATTACTGATGCTCAGTCCGCCTTGGGCTGGGACAATGCAGGCTCTGTGCTCTGTCTGGACAAAGCAGGCACCTCAGAAGTGAACTGGCCAAATTGACATGCAAGTGTGTCTGCATTAGAGAAATATTGCATGGGGTAGAGAAATTAGGATGTGGCTTATTGCAGGCAAGTGAAACACAGCTGTTGTGTTGACAGTAAAAAAGCCTTTTCACCACATTTACAGGACTTGAGAATGCTAAAGAGGGGGAAAGCAGCCAGAGAGACATACTTACATGTACACTGAGTTTGACTGGTGGACCCAACCCTACCAGCCAAACAAGCAAACATACTGAGTTTCTCCTAGATAAGGACAGGGCGTGTTTGTTTAACAGGTAGGACTGGATGGTTTAAGAGTAGGTGGCCGATATGCTAAATTTCATTAAGTGTACCAGACTGGGCTGCTAAATGAAAAAAGTAGAAAGAGATATGAGAGGAAGAAAAGGGTGGTGGGTAAAAGACAAAGAGGGGGGTCAGCAGACAGGTAGAAGAAGATAGGTTTGCCTCAAGAGGTCAGTAGATTTGTCAGTGGGTGGGCTTGGAACCGAGTGGGGTGAGATGGTAAAAGACCTCCCTATGCTTTCAAAGTGTTAAGATTTTGGTGATGTGACTTGTTCCTGCTTTCTTACCTGGAACAATCTTTCAAAGTGTTAAGATTTTGGTGATGCGACTTGTTCCTGCTTTCTTACCTGGCACACTAAACCTGTTAGACTGGTGGTACCTGACGTGGCGCAACATTGTTCAGTTTTATTTCTTACAAGCACAGACATATTTTCAGAACAACACACAAGGTTGAGTGGTAGTGTCATTGTTGTGACTCCAGAAAAAAATGTATCAATACCACAAATACTTGATGAAAAAGGAGTTTGATCATATCTTATTCAGTTACATTAACATTAGTAAATACTGCATGTATCAAACTGCTGTTACTTATGTCTTTCACATTCTTGTGGGTTGGTTTCAACTTGTGACTGTGGTTCCTCATTACAGCAGTACGTTTCATAGTTAAGAGTTTGAGAGAGAGAGTTTGAACAAGTCTAGTCAATGATGACCGCAGCCCCTGATAATGACACATGACACATTATATGGGAACAGAAAATATAACAGAAATTAGAAGCAAAATTACTCTGTTTAAAGTTTCAATTTGATTATTTGTAAGAGGAAATCCATAACCCAACACAATCCTTTCCTGTCCTATAATGCTGAATATGTTCTCTTCCAGCTTCGCTGAACTGTTTCTCCAAAATCCATATTTCCAAAAAGAAAGAGAAAGCACTGTTTCTTGATTCTTTATTCTGTGCAAAATATAGACTTGCAGCACTTGGCAGAGGTGCAAGAGGTGAGCTGAATAATCCTGAAACAGAAAATAAGCTTTTGGTTTGTGTGTTTGTGTGATACACTGCATAGGAACCATGGATGATTGTTCCACTGAAGAAACAGCTGAAAGAAACCAAATGAAATACTCAGACAAAAATCTGTACACATCAAAAAAGGTTCACTGTGTTGCAAAGAGTACTCCAGCAATTTTTCAGGCTACTGCACTTTTATAAAGTTGGGGGTCTCACAAGATGCATTTAAAAAAGAATGGTCAAATCAATACAGCTGTTCAAACTCCACAGCCCAGTTTATAACATAGGCTTTGCAGCCAATCCAAGACCAGCCAAGATACCTGTGTGATGTCACATCACGTGTCAGACAAAGTCCTTTCAGGGCTACAGAAGATTTTATGTAACTCTTTTCACAGGCTGCGTAAAGTTCACCATCATGAATCATAGATAATGGGTTTTTAATGCGCCCTTCAATACATAAAACAATCAATTTATTAAAAGAATAGTTTGCAGCCCTGCTAGCACCTCTGTGACGCTGCACTTAAGCACAGCTGTTTTACACTGAATGTTAACATTGCATTTTAAAATAGTGCAAAAGCATTTGATCAGCAAACATAATATTTAACATGTTCACCATCTTATTGTGTTAGCATTAAATCCTGGTAACTAGTGACATGTTTATCATTCAAAAAGGTTTTTTAATATTAATGTATTCACCTCGTTCAGGTGGCTACATTACAAATTTTGTCAAAACCATTTTTTAAATAGACAGAACCTTTGTAATATGAATCATCCTTCTTGCTGGTGTGCTGAGGATTTTGAAATATAATCAGCATAAAGTGTTTTTCTAAAATTCATTTTGAGATTTCTGTAAATTCCATCCTTTTTTAAAAAAAAGATGACCTTCTCCATGCTATGGTGCACAAACCTGCCAAGAGAGACGAAGCAGCATTTCAGCAGTGTATGCTGCACTTCCCAGTTATCTTGGATCAAAGCCAGACAACATGAAACAGGAAAGCAAGGATAAAAACACTGAGACATGACTCAGGTCAAGATTTATCTGTTGTACAGGAACAGCATCGCAGGTGAAAGCACCCCCACTTTTCACCTGATCCTTTCTACTCAGAAAGACAACATATTTACTCTATGTGATTACACCAAGTGTCCTCATATTCACTGAGTGCGACGTTATCTTCACCCCACTATCCAAGATTAGTTTGTATTTTGCATGCATGTGCAAAAACCACAGCTTTGAAGTGCACTCCCTGATAAAATTATTAATGTGCAGACAGGATTTGAAAATATGAACCAGTGGCAAAAGGCCCAGTGGGATCAATTCATCTGTCAATACTGCTATCAGAACTTGATCTGAAAAGTGTGAACCTGTGGTGAACCCCCCCATCCCCCCCCACAATGTAATAATACATCTTTTTATTTTCCATAACTGATGATATCCAACATTATCATTTAAACACTTCTAGAGCAAATTCCCAGTTCACACATTTGCTCCTGTTTTAGTCAGAGATAACACCTGCTGAATAACACATTAGCAGATAGTAGCCTAGTAGTAAGATGACCAGGTTTAATCCTGAGAGGTGATGAAGAGCTGATTAAGGAGGACCTAACAAGGTGTTTAACTTAACTATCGCTGCCCAAACCTTGCTTAGAATTAGGACAATGAGGTGGGGTCTAAAGTTCAGTAGGTAAAAAAAAAAAAAAAAAAGAAAATGTATGCAGCAATGTGATGAGAAGGGCAAACTGAAGTAAAGGTCAAACATTCAATGTGGAAAAATGAGGAACAACAGCAGCAAAACATGAGGAAATTGCAAATAAATAAGGACATTAAAGCAGAACTAAAAGTACACTTCCACCTGAAACCATATGTATGGAAAGAAAGTTTATTTGATCAATTAGATCACCCCCTCCCCTCCATAGATACTATACCAACAACTCAGCAATAAAAAAAGACTTACAAAAGATTTTTTTATGGCAACCACCGTACTGTAGACACCTCATGAACACCATAACCACCCCTCCAATTCTAATACATTTTACTTGATAGGCATACAGATTACAACTGACATTCACTGCTACACACATTGCATACCTTCTATTTAAAAACCAACTTTGAATTTAAATAATGGTATTCATTAATAAATATTAAGTACTCCATCAATAAGTGGGTGTATTGATCTCTTTTAGGAAAAAATCCATTAGTGATGTTGTGTGTGCCTGTGTTTAAAAAAAAAAGACATTTAGAGGTGAAGGAAATAAAAATCTTGATCACAGCAAACTATTGATAAGCAACACAAAAACTTAAGTGTCCTTCCCCCGCACAATGAGCAAAGTCAAACTTATAAATATGATATTTCTAAAGTGCATCTGTCAAAGATTTGTCAAATTAAAAGTCAACAGCAGTCCTGGTTTAAGAAAAAAAAAACAAAGCTGGCAAAACTAGAAACAGATATCTGAACGTGCATCCGATATATTAAGCAAAAACTACCTACATACATGCAGTTTCTTGTTTTGTTTTGATGCAGCAGAAAAAAAGGTAACGGATAAAAACAACAAACTTCATTGTGAAGAGGTCACAATTAGCTCTGTGCCATTTCAGTCTACTTGTGTGTTCACACTTGGCTTTATGGAATATTTTACTTAAATTTTAAGTAAACTCAGCTGACTTAAAAAAAAGCACACAGTGGTGAATACGTTTGGATTTCTGCTAGAAGTGAAGGGAGAATCTCTTCTATTCAGTCTGTTTAACCTGTGGTCTTCTATGTGCAGGTTGTAGGGTCTAGATCTTAGGCAGCTTGGGAGCACTGATAAGAGGGTTGGTCTCTTGCAGAAATCGCCGTCCTGCACTCTTGTAGTCGTAAGTGCAATCATGCGTCTCTGCGTAGCGGTGGGTGGCGCAAAAGTTGTGACCACACCTGAAAGAGTTAAATAAACACATATTTCAGTATGAAAGCAAAAAATATCCCAAAATAATACGTGATTCATTTATAGTTTCTTCTCCTCGAGACCTTACAGGCTGCTTACTCATCAGGCTACTCTGCTGAGTGAGTCTTGCTATTTTAACTCCTCTGAAGCACAAAGAGGGGGATTTTAATGTCAACTCAGTTTAAAAAAAAAAGAGCAAGAGATATTTGCTTTATATAATTAGTGAACACTAATACTGAGAAAGTTAGTTTACTCACTTAATCACAAAATTCACCATATGACTACACTGGCCCTGAGCTCTGCCCTTTAAATGACTCAACATCTTCAAGTGGCTGGCGTTAAAGAGATTACATACTGTTGCATCAGATTCAATGTGTGTGCCCTCAACAAGGCCCGAGAGAGGGAAGTGATCCAGACCGATGTCTAGGAGAGAAACTTGGGTAAAGCTAATAACTTGTGGCAGAACAAGCAGTGAACACAGATGTGTTTTCACTGGAGAGATGGTCGAGAGACAAAATGATAAACCAGGAAAAAGACCTCGTTCTACTATAAGGGCAAGGCTGACAAATTAGGAGTGATTTGATTTAGAGTCAGGCAGAGAGCGAGCGCAGGTGGGAATGCTGGAGGCCCTTGTACCTGCACTCATAGCTGGTGGCTAGGCCTGTCTTCTTGCCACAAAGGAAGCAGTACTTTGAGCTCTTCTTCTTGTTGCCTGTGGGGGCCTTGACTGGAGGTAGATGGTATGTTGGAGTACCTGAAAGGAGAGGAAACATTTGTACTGATGTTACTGGAGCCAGTGTACTAACTGTCGAGTGAAAAGGTTTTTATCAGTCCCTGAAACAAATCTACTGTGCACAAGGTTCAGTCACGTAGCTTGGTTGCCTTCATTAAGCTGATTCCATTTCACGTTTTAAACCAGGGCTAAAAGGAACATTTAACAACTTTTTCTTCTTCCTGATAAAGCCCTTGGCTCATTTAACAATCTATCACAGCATCACAAAGCCATAACATGTCACGGATAGGAGAAAATTTGTACTTTCGGTCAGGCTGAATATCTGATCAAACCGCAGCAGTGATGTGAAAGCAGCCCTTTTCACGAATATTCAAAAGGCAAAACACCTGTTGTGGCATTATGAACTGGAGTCTGGCCAGGATTGCAATATGTTTAAAGTTTCACTGCACTTTTCTGAAACCTGTCAGTTGTCATAGTTTTACTTTATTTTCTCCAACTTCCTATCTTGTCATTTCTTTGAGCACATGGAGAGTATTACCATGTCATGTATTGTGCACGCTTAATGTCGGCCACCTGATAGCCAAAGGATAAAACTGCCTCAAAATAATCCCACAAAAACAATTTTCCAACTGTCACAGTCCTTTGCTCTTATCTATGGGTTCTCTGTTACCCTGACAGTTAATTTCAAGCTTGGTTTATAATGAAGTGTGCATTTAAAAATAACTGCAGTCAATTAAATGAGATGGAAACAGTAATAAATTTGTGACAGTTTTTCCTGAAATGGTCTGAAAAGTTGTCAATCATGGATAGTATGTTTCCATCTGAAAAGGGATTTAAAAAATAGCTTTGCTATATGAACCATTACCTTGTCGTAGTTTTAGAAAATACACCGTCACAAGTCAGGAGCCACCGGCTTATGTCAGCCCACATGTGATAATCGTGCCTAGAAGCCTGGCTAGGTTGGGGATACAGGAACATATAGATAAAACCGACAGCTCTTTGACGAAGGTACAGGAAGCTCACTGACAAGCAGCTCAGAGTAGGATTGCATCCTTTTTTTGTTTGGTTTGTGCACTTTAATCTGCTACCGTACAGACGTAAAATACGCTCAAATATATTCAAATCCCACATTTTCCATATTCTGCTGTGTAGATTTTACTTGAATTTGATTACATTCAATTAGGAGTAGTCTGTTAAGTTTCACTGGCTCCCAATCCTTACCTGATTCATTAACTACTGAGGATCTGATATGTACATTTTCTGTGCACACAGCAGTGCCGTAGACACACGGTGCACTGAGAGAGGTAGCTTCTTTTGTAATTAAGAGTTTCACGTGCTGTCAGTGTTGATATTTTCAGTGTATTGTTCTGCAGTTCAGTCACTAGAGACAGAGGTTTCCACGTTATAAAGGAGAACAGTGGGATGTCTGTAAAAGGTGGTGTGCCTGGAGTACAATGGGCCTCCATGAGCAACAGATCAGAATCACAGAGTCACAGATCTGGACTTCTCAAATAACTGTCAAGGACATTTCTTGGAAACAATTATGAAGTAGTAATTAAAGGGAAACATGTTTTTTGTGAAACAGCACAATACTGGAAACTTATATAGCTGAACATTGTTTCCATTTCCTCCATATTGAATACAGAATTACACAGTTGTTTCAAGACAACCACAGGAAAAAGATTCAGTTTTAAAATAGAGTGTTACTAGGAAATGTACTGAATGGTTCAGTTGCTGATTTTGCAGTACCTCCCTAATTTACCTACAGTCTTATGCAAAAGTTTAGGCACCCCTTGATAAATAACAGATTTTGGTGATTTTTTATTTGAACAGATGTTAACACAGTTTCTCTTGGAAATGGAAAAAATGCACAATATTTTCAGCAAACAGTGATGCATAGTTACTTCTTATGCCATAAATTGAACAAAAATAAAAAATAAAAACATTATTATGGCATGGTGCAAAAGTTTGGGCACCCTAAGAGTTCCAGAGTCTCAAAGTCTCTCACAAGGTTTCAGACCTTAATCAGCTCGGTAGATCTGATGCACAGCAACAGCTGTCATTGGTAAATGCCAATTTCAAAGCTGTACAAATACCTTGACTCTTCAAACCTTGTGCACACACTTGTGGACACCCAGCAACCATGGGTTCCTCTAAGCAGCTGTGTAAGACCCTGAAAATGAAAGTTATTGATGCCCACAATGCAGGAGAAGGCTACAAGAAGATAGCAAAGCGTTGTCAGCTTGCAGTTTCCACAGTAAGAAATGTAATTAAGAGATGGCAGATCAGGGGAACTGTGGAGGTCAAGATGAGATCTGGAAGACCAAGAAAACTCTCGGACAGAACTGCTCGTATGCTGGTCAGAAAGACAAATCAAAACCCCCATTTGACTGCAAAAAACCTGCAGGAAGATTTAGCAGACTCAGGAGTGGTGGTGCACCGTTCCACTGTGCAGCGATGCTTGCACAGACAAGGCCTTCATGGAAGAGTCAGCAGAAGAAAACCTTATCTGCGTCCCCATCATAAAATCCAACATCTGAAGTATGCAACAGGACATCTACAGAAGCCCGATGCGTTTTGGAAACAAGTGCTGTGGACTGATGAAGTTAAAATAGAACTCTTTGGACACAATCAGCAAAGGCATGTTTGGAGAAAAAAAGGAGCAGCATTTCATGAAAAGAACACCTTGCCAACTATTAAGCATGGGGGTGGATCTATCATGCTCTGGGGTTGTGTTGCAGCCAGTGGCACAGGAAACATTGCACGGGTGGAGGGAAGAATGGATTCCACTAAATACCAGCAAATTCTGGAAGCAAACATCACACCATCTGTAAAAAAGCTGAAGCTGAAAAGAGGATGGCTTCTACAACAGGACAATGATCCTAAACATACCTCGAAATCCACTATGGAATACCTCAAGAGACGCAGGCTGAAGGTTTTGGAATGGCCATCACAGTCCCCTGATTTAAACATCATTGAAAATTTGTGGGTAGATCTTAAAAGAGCTGTGCATGCAAGACGACCAAAGAATATTACAGAACTAGAAGCCTTTTGCAAGGAAGAATGGGAGAAGATCCCAAGTACAAGAATTGAAAGACTTTTAGCTGGCTATGAAAAGCGTTTGCAAGCTGTGATATCTGCCAGAGGAGGTGTTACTAAGTACTGATTGTGTAGGGTGCCCAAACTTTTGCACCATGCCATAATAATGTTTTTATTTTTTATTTTTGTTCAATTTATGGCATAAGAAGTAACTATGCATCACTGTTTGCAGAAAATATTGTGCATTTTTTCCATTTCCAAGAGAAACTGTTAACATCTGTTCAAATAAAAAATCACCAAAATCTGTTATTTATCAAGGGGTGCCTAAACTTTTGCATAAGACTGTACACATTACCCAATGACAACAAAGTGAGAACACATTCAAACAAATAAATCTGGTCTGGTGAAACAAAAAAACTCTTCACACTGAATGCTTCAATATCCACTGCTTATAACTAACAAAACTTCACTATAATAAAGTGTGGAGGCAGAACATCCTGTTACGAGGAACCACAAGATGCCCTGATTGAAGGAACCATAACTGATGTCAAATATAGACAGAGTTTTGGGAAAACAATGTCAAGAGCACAGGCAACCTCATTACACAAGATGTCTCACTTTTCAGCACAACATGAAGTACACAGAGTCAGTACAATACCAGAACGGATTCAAGACTGAGTGTCCTTGAGTGGCCCCTTGACTACAGTCCAGACTTGAACTCTGCAGAAAATATCTTCCAAGAATCCTCATATACTCTGACAGAGCTTGAGTGGATCTACATAGAAGGTAAATGTAAACTAACCAAAAACTGTCATTTTTAGACTTATATCTTTATAAAATGACCCCAAGAGTTCAACCAAAGGGGAAAAAACCCAGCTTGAGGACTACACAAACCTTTTTCGAACAGGTTATTGGGGTGTGAAGGCCAGAGTCAACATACTGGAGTGGCTACAACTAAAAATTTTTTGTATTTATAATGTATTCCTTTTGCAACTCTGTGTGGCAATGCAGCTGAAAGTAAAGACTGAGTGAAGCATCATTCATGTGCAGTGGTCATTTGGGTTGTTCAATGCTCTTTGCAGTAGACTGCTGCGTTTGAGCATCAGTGGCTGACATAAATACACCAGTAACTGAGTGTGCTGATGTGTACGCCCACCACCTTTCTGTTGTTTGTGCTGCTTCTGCAGTTGTAAAAATAATGAATATTTAAACCATTGTGGTGCTTTGTTGTTTTGCTCCTACAACATGCACAGAAGGCTAACAAACAACACCCTCTCTGTAAGTGAATGCACCTTTCAATAGTCACAGCTCTTGAACTGTTTGGCCACCATGTATGCATTTTGGCAATAGTGCTTTAAAAATATAATGCTGTATACATGTCCAATCCAAATTAAAACCGTTTGTGTGTCTCCTTTACCTATTCTCCCGAATGCAGTCACGACTCCCCCAGTTGATGCCAGAGTGTTGGCCTTGCAAAATAACAAAATAACATCTTTTTAGAGCAAATCAATAAAATGACTGCAGTGCTCAACCTTTGAGAAACAATACTGTGCAGGAATAGAGCTTCAAGTAGTCAACTCAAGTAAGTAAAACTAACAAAAATATGTCTAGTATCTTAACTAGAAAAGAGCTCATCATAAAAAATACATAGGCATGTTTCTCTAAATAAGTGATCTTAATGAAATCGGTCACAGTATGGAATCCCAACTAATCATCAATACAGCGTATGCAGTTTTTGAACATTTGTGCAAAGCTATTTTAATATAAAGTGATGTGAGTGACCATAATGCTGTGAAAACTATGCAGAGTTTCGCATCATCCACTCTGTTCTGCTTTTGAGCATTTGCTAACTTTGTAGTTTGGGATGAGCATAGACAAATTCTAATGGTCAGTATTACTCAAATTTAAGTGAGAGCAATTTACAGAACACAATAAAACACTTCACAGCAAAACACTTTAGCATTAAAAGCAATTCCACAACTCTACTTGTAGCAGTAAATACTGACACCTATCTTTACTCACCTTGTAAGAGGATGCTGCTTGGTGCACTGGTGACATTTGTCTTATGATATCTTCTTGAAGGAGCCTATTAGTTGGGATGAATGGCAGCTTGGAGCCAAGTCTGCCCTGTCCTGAGACAGCAGGAGGGGGCAATGAGACTGCAAGTCCCAGAGGCTCTCTAAGGCTGTCCCTGCTGCTGCTGTTGGGAGCCCTTGTGGAGAGAGAAGTCAAGAGCTCAGAGTTGCTCAGAGAGGCCACTGGCTCTGTACAGGATTGGTTGGTCATTTTAGTGATGCCTCTTGCTTCCCTCTTGGAGATCAGCTCTGGTCTCTTGCCAGGTGACTCCACTTTAATGCCACGAAAACGTGGTGGATGAATTGATGAGGTGGAGGGGTGAAGGGATGCGTCGCCTGGCTTCACATGTGCTGAGGATTGTGCTTGAAGGTTGGACTGTAAACAGGAGAGAGTGGAGTCAAAAGGTTGAGGCAGCGGTCTGGTTGAAGTGGATGGTGAAGTGGAGGCAGGTATTTGAGAGGGAGGGCCAATATGAAATGAAGTGCCAAGCTGTGTCCTATCAGCACTGCTGGTGAGAGTATCACTTGTCCCAAGTGTCCAGGTACTGAGCGGGGATGGGGAGACGGGCAGCTGGCGTTGAGCCCCAATATCGCCAGACCGACAACCTCCCTCTGGTTGTGTAGGGACATCCAGATTTAGGGAGTCTGACAGTTTACCTAATGAAGCTCTAGGCTGTGCTGGTGCCACCAGCCCAGCAGCTTCCTCTAACAAATCCAGCCTGACTGCCTCCCCTGCTGGCTCAACTGGGTCAAAGGTGGCTTCAGGTGGCCCTCTGGTACACAATGGAGGGAGCTGAGGGTACACACAATCCCTCATCAACCTGGTGCTGCCGATGTCCAACCGTGAAACTTTGGGAGGGGGACGAATCTTTGCAAATGGCGGGCAGGTCTCCCATGGCTCCTCCTCTTGAAGCATATAACAAGAGGATGAGGAGAATGAGGGAGGAGGCCGTCTAGCGATGGACATGTGGGCAGCGGCTGTAGCAGCAGAGGATGAGGAGGGGTCTATGGATTCATGATCAATGATTGGAGGTAGTTGTGGATTTGACTGCCGAGACTGGTTGATCTGGGGGAGTGCATGAAACAGGCGATGATGGTGTCGTGTGCTGGAAGGTCCTATCGAGCCACCGCAGGGATGTGGGCTGACAGGAGGCCGTGGTTTTACCTTTGTGGACTTCTTCGGCTGGAGGACAGAGACACGGACAGAGATGGTCAGATTATACCATATATCCTAAAAAAAAAAAAATACAGTCATGATCTCATCATTTGATTTAATCTGCTTGTATAAATAAATTATGAGCATAAAACAGCTCTATCCACTTACAAACATGTAAATGACTGTCAGGTCCAGCACATCTGCATTATAAGAAATGGTTGCACACTACCATTTCAGACTATGATTATGACAACTAGCATTAGGTATAATTTTGTTACATTCTTTTTGGATTTAAGAAACTGTGGAAAAATCAGCTTGAAGAATAACGTACACATAGAAGGTTTAAACAAAATGTCTGAGGCCACATTCACACTCTGAAAGGGAGTAAAATTTCCTACTTTCTTGTTGAGGTTCATGTCCTCCATCTTGGCTTTGAGCAGCTTCATTTTGTTCATGGTGATGGAGTTCTCGAGACTCTGCTGCACAGCTGCAGAATGCTCTCCATCCTCCTCCTCGGTGTACACATTGTACAACGAGCCACCACTGGAATATATGAGAGGCAAAAACACTCTTCCTGTTAGTGATCTGAAGCAGCTCTCTCTTTAAAAAAATAAATAAATAAAAAAAATAAAAACCGGGGCAATGACAAACAAGAATGCTGCTCATTTGTCCCCTCGGCAGTGGCTCTACTCACTATCTTTGTCACTGCTAGTGACAAAAACTCAGCTACAGCAACCCACAACTATCACTGAATAATTACTTGAGTTCTCATAATGGCTGCATACTTATTTATCCTATTGGTTCCGTATTTCTGCCTCTTTAATTGCACTATTCGTAACACTCAGAACAGAATACAGTAGTGCCTGTTTACGTTCTGATATTTGTTACAAAAATAACCAACAGGAGCAAAACTCTCCCACAATTCCTTGCATATTACAGTATCTGGACAGTTAAGGACATAACGCTATAATGATTGTACTAAAAACAACACAGACATTGTGACAGTATCCTGACCTCAGAGATTCAGACAGAGGGGTCAGGGTGCCATCTCCCTTGTCAACCACACGGAAGAAATTTAGCTGGTCACCCTCACGATAGACCACGAATGTGACCTGCTTGTTGGTCAGGCTTTTTTCCCAACCCGTTTCCTTTGTGCTCTCCATTGGGTCAGCAGCCTCTTTGATAGGATCCTCCATGGTAACTGACAAAAAAAGAGGGGGGCTTTGTGGTTCAAACTAGAAAATGTATTTTAACTTGAAAAAATATTTGAATATAATACAAAACTACAAAACGTCCAGCTATTTTGGGACTGTACTGTTCTTTTGACCATTTTCTTACCTTTCCTGGTGTTAATTGGACCTCCCCTCATAGCTAAGACCAGTTTCAAAGTGCAGCCCTCTGCAATGCTGAAAACATAGAATGATGATCAATACAGTAGAAAAAGTGATAAGTATGACAAGCACCCATACCAGAGTAAGCAACTCTAATGGAAAAGGGAGAGGTAACAGTGGGCAATGTATTTAAATTTAGGGTACAATGCTTTACTTCTGAGGCAGAGGGGAGAGGCTGTGATCTCAAGTAAACAGGCCTCTGAGGATCAGGATGATTTCCAGATAAACTGAAGTGGATGACTGGGAATTCCACTGGAACATTTGTTTCATATGAACAGATGTTTTATTGCCTATCCTCCCCTCTGCTTCTAAAACTTCCAAAGCATGCTGCAGTGTGATAGGCAAGCTTAGCAAGAACTCACCAGAGGCTGTTCATGTGGAAAATTAAGTGACATTCATAACACCACCATCTGCAGCCAGCAGAGCACTGGAGGGCGAGGTCTGCATCTCATAAACTGATGAGTGAAGGGGGCAATCTCTCTAAGTATGCCCAGTATATCAGTCGTCTAATGCAGCTTAATATCTCTGGCTTGTTTTATTAACTCAAGACTGAATCATCACCACAACAATAAGACCTTTAAAGTGCATATGCAGATGAATTTAAATGTACACAGTGTGTTTTCAAACATACTGGTAGTAGTCCAATAAGCCTTGTTGTCTGTATGTAAGTTTTCTGAAGAACAGAGAAGTTTGGGAGGATTAGATTTACCCATAGTCATGTAGACAATGTTCATCATCCAGCTCCAGATTGTTCCAGATGAGGTGTTGCTGAGCAACAGGGATACCTTTACAGTCAGAGAGGGTGGGATAGAAAACAAGCAAATTTGACAAGGACCTGTACATATCTCATAGATTAAGTTCAATAACCTGATAGGCAGGTGAGATGGGAATGCTTCATGTCTGCCTCCTAGAGACAGAATTATGTAACTTCTGAAAAGGCCAAACCACAGTTCAGCGCCAAAAAAAGGTTTTATACGTGAGCTATTTGCCAAGTCAGCTCATCTTAGAAATAAAACTATTAAATAAGTGAGGTTGGTTGGACTACGTCTATATTTTAGTTGATATTATGCAAAGGAGGCCAAAACAATAAGGCTCTAGAAGAGGGATGACTGCCTCATGAGTACAAAGGCTCTCTAGAGCTACTCTTTGGAATGAGATACAGTGGGAAGCCAGGAAGCTCGCTATGCCAACAACGAGTGAACTTGCTGACCCGAGCCAATATCGGTGAGTGAGCAGCGGCCCCTTCATTGCAGAGTGGTACGCTCCATTGCAAACATATAAACTTTACTGACACACCTCCTCACAACGAGCACAGAGAGGCCTTTCTGACCGAAAGTGAAAACAGCTGCAAATAATGTAAATACTGAAGGTCAGCCCCAGAGGAGCTCTGATCCAAATCAACAACACAAACATAAAAATCTTTGAGAATAGGGCATTGTCGTGCAAAACAGATTCCAAAGGTTTGTGATGAGCAACACACCTCCTAAGTGGTCAAACAAATAGTGTGGCAGGAGGTATATATGCAACACTCCCAAGGAGCCATTCCTGTAACCTTCGTCTTCTCAGTCTATCAAATACAGAGGTGCAATCTGACAAGGGTCCAAACAGGTGACAACATTTTTCTTGCCCAAAAACAAGCCATGCATGGCACCCAGGCTCCTTGTAAATCTCGTAAGACAAGACTCATATATGCATACTGACTGTTCAACTTATTAGTTACTTAAATTATAAACAAACAAATCTGTAGGTTGACAAGAGTTTTGAGATGAAGCCTAATTATAAGGTTGAACCTTAATTCATTGCTAAAGAAAGAAATGTCTGTAACAAAGGTGCTCAGCATAAAAGGTAAAAAAAAAAATATGGTGAAGAAGATATCTAATATGATTTGACACAGTCTACTGACTTTGGCACCCTTTATTCTACAATAGCTACTTGTTCCATAGACCGAAGGTCCTGATTCAGAACTAAAGGTTGCTGTTAAACATTTCTACCGCTCAGCTAAAAATGGGAAACTGTTACCTGAATGATTTCTACACTGTGCTTTGCCAATCAGCATGATTCATGCCGTTGACCAATTCAGACATAAAAATGTTGAATTTTGCCAAAAGGTGACAAGTATGCATCCCTGAAATAACTGATACAGCTTGCTGGCACAATCAGTGCAATACCCTGGCTTATAAAAAAAAAAAAGACATGTTTCCCCAACAGCAGTCTAAAATATGCAAACAATACAGTAGTGAGCTTTGTACCTTCCAGCCTCTGGATCTTTGCCTTGACTGAAATGACAGCCTCAAAAGGCAACACACGCAGTTCAAAACAAGTCCCTGTCAGGGTCTCTATGAAGAGCTCCATAGTGTCATAGAAAGGAAGCTTATAATGAAAAGCTCCCACACTGTCGTCATTAAAGAAGGGTGGCTCCTTCCTATTGGTCATCTTGGCAGGTTGGGGGAGAGAGAATTCAGCGACACAGTGAAATGAGGGTATTGGCCCAAGATGAGAGAGCAAGTGACAGACACTGCTCACTGGACTCACGACTGTCACACATCATGCAGGATGACCACACCTGTAAAGTAAAAACAAAAGGAAAGCATGATTATAATAACTTTTTTGAAGGTTTGATTACTTAGCAATCCACTGTGTTAAATATGCTTTATGTGCTTCCCACAGAACAGTCATTTATTTGATAATCTACTTCTGAAATTTGACATTTACATGTAAGCTCTGCATTCACACATTAACCTCTGCTTGTCAAGTCTTTTTTAGTTTCACACACATTTTGAGATTTCACTCAATACATAATTAGGTCACATGCATTTTTATTTTAGTCACTTTATGTCCGTCTTTGTGGCTTAATGTTTTTGTAGTCTTTTTTTTTTTTTATCTCTGAAGTATTTTTGCATCATTATTGTATCATTCTGCATTCCTTTGCTTCTTGCTCATGGCTGTGTTACCTATTTTTGGTCTTTTTTCATGTCTTTATCATTATGTTGTGTCTCTTTGTTTTAGTTCTGTCTTTTAACTGAGCTCTATAACTTTCTAGCTAAAAATATATCACTTCATCCAAAGGCACAGGACCAAGGGCCCCATGACCTCTCAGGGCCTGTGCACTAATCCATCCATGACTGTGGGGAATTTCAAGCAATGACAACCATAAGAAAGGTGTTATCTCCCTGTCCGAAGAGGTCCGTGACCTGTTATGCATTCGCTGTTTGGGACTGATGAAATTAATAGATGTGCATTATATTGTACATTAACCTGCTCCTGTATGTTTTGGAATACAGTTGTCCACAAGCTGCTGTCCAGAGTACTTATAAACACAGTAACCCTTTAAATAGCATTTTTCACTTTACTGTTGAGGTTACTGGGGCCTGACAGGAGTAACCATTCAAGCCCACAAATGAGATACACAACACTGAAGGTGAAATGTCTCGTTGATTGTTTGTTCCGCAATGTTAGTACACCAGGCCTACGTTATACCCATTCAGAGACTTAATGGTTGTCATTACAGGCCATTCTCTGAAGAAATGGGTTAACTTAAATTGTCAAGTTACAGGCGACACTATTTGCAGACTGCTTCTAGCTAGATTTAACCTTAACTACTTGACACTGGTTCACTGCACCGGCACAATAGAAAGAACAGACCAGTTCAGCAAGAAGAAATGAACTGGGATAGCTAGCTGCCGGACAACGGGGATGAATGGAGCTGGCAATCGTCTCAGTCCAGGCGCTAACGTTAGCGGGTCGCACAATCAGCCTTTATACCTCCCAGTTTTAAAATTGCAGCTTAAAACCTCGGTTAATAGTCATATTTTATTATTAATGCTTACCAATATCGTCTATAGTGAAGCCCGACTAGCGGACGCTGCAAACATTAGCTTTCGTTGCCATGTTAGCCAACAACTCAAACAATGGCAACCTCTCTTTGGCTAGCAGGCAGCTAGGCTACATCTACAGGCTTCACTCCTGTCCCGTTCGATGTAGCTGTCAAAGAAAACATTACGTTCAAGACTTAGCAGCATTTCATAACGTTCAACCCTAATAACTACACACGGAACAAACTAGGCCGTCTACCATTGTCGGTCGCCGTGGTCCTCTCGTTGGCGACATCATACCTGTCAAAGACGGCTGAACACCACCTTTGTGACTTCACTTAACTGACAGACAGATTAACCAATTGGAGTCACGGATAGTGAGGTGGGCGGGACAACACGGTATCTCTTGTAACAAACCGTGGGTCAAAGTCAGTCACTGTCGTTTAGAGTTGGGACCCAAATTGTCAGGACAAAACGTAAAATTTTACAGACAGCTGTCGTTAAATCTGTAATCGTCAAAGGCTTAATAGTCTGTCAACTCTCCGGTCACATTAGTGATAATGATACTTATAAATACATATGACTGAGACTCTAGGCAGCTGTTTCTTCATACTTTCACCCATATGTGTAAAGACAACATTAAAACAGGTTTGAACAGTTTGACATTTTTACCACAAAAATGTTTTATCCCCCTTCAAATGGCTGTCTGCCAATTTGTAGCCCCATGCCAGCAAAAACATCGTAATCTTACAGCATGACACCTTTAATGAAATGTTCAAGTAGTTCAGGCTATGACCTACTACTCTGATTTTATAGTTTTGGGAGCTTTTACTCACTATCTACTGTGGCAACAGTTTCAGAATTTCTTGAAGTCAAGCATTGCTCTTTTTTTTACTTTCATAATACTGACTTTAGCAAAAACACCAAAACTTAATACGGTAATTCAAAAATGAAACAAATTGTTTTAATAAACAAAACTACACTGTTTCCTTGTAGTTGGCTTACTGGTCTGCTCGGAAACTAATCAATACTTAAGCCTACACAAACCAGACACATGGAAATAAGTGAACCAGAAATAAACACACAATTTTCAGGCAGCATAAAATATGATTATTTTTAGTTATTAAAAAGGAATTTCTTTTGTTGTCACAGCCAAAGTTAAGAAATGGATGAATTTCTTATTAATAAAAACATTGTCAAAATGCCAAGGACAGTCAGTAAACAGATTCATTTCTCATAACCATGATTACAGCACAAACCTTAAAGACATGGAATCTCAACATGGCAAAGCCAAAGGATAGACTTCTTCAAAACAAACAAAACTATTAACTGTCAATTTCTGCAGGCTTCGAGGCTAAGCATATGGTATGCTTATAAAGTGCTATCATGTATAATAAAGATTTACAGTATTTAATAACTGCTATATAATACAATCTGATGCCAGGATGATTTTGGAAATGCCATAAGAAGCTGAACAGAATCATTCTCGTGAGTCTTCTTTTGCAAAAAAAAAAAAAAAAAAAAAAAAAAAAACCCATAGTATTTATATGAGTTTATATGAATAAATACTCAACATTGTATCCGATCTCCAATCTTTCAGCAATTCGAATGACAAAATCCACAATAGTATAAATCTGGCTACTCAGAACAACAGTTCAGGTCCCACCAAGAGCATTCAGTGGATCATCAAATATGTTGCTTGAATCTGCTGCTGTAGTGGTCTCCTGGGACGGTGGTGTTTTCTTGGATTTATGGGGAGCCTTTGCCACTGGTTTTACCGTGTTTGGTGAGAAGATGTCATCTTTAAAGAACAGAGAGGTGGACACCATATGTAGTTAAACAGGACACTTTTAAAAAAGGTACAGCACAGGACAGTGTCAAGAGGGTAGAGTAAAAACACAACTACCTGCATGCATTTTATTATTACTTACCCATGTCATCATCAAATATTGATTTGGTTTCTCCCTTTGTCTTTGACTTCTGTTTTGGTTTTAAAGTGTCTGTCAGGTCTGCAAAAATGTCTACATCATCATCAAACAAGCTGGCATCAATGGTCTTCTCTTTGTGCTTCTTGTGAACTTTAGGCACAACGGCTACTTCATCCTGAGAATGCAGAAATTCAGCCAGTAAAAAAAAAAAGAGCTAAAACATATTCTTATGATGGCACAGATAAACTTGACAGTATAACCATTAGTGTAAAATAAAGGTACCTCAAAGATATCCTGCTTTGAAAAAAAACTACTGCTGTTCTTGATTTCTTTACTACTTGTAGATGAGGGGGTGGACCTGTTGCTCACTCCAAAGATGTCCTCATCATGTTCTTCTTCTTCTTCCAAAAAGGGTGAGGCCTTAGCTTTCTTAGTATTTGATTTTGGCTTCACCCTTTGAAAAAGGTCATCAGTGTTGTCATCAAAAATGGATGGGGGTGTGCTTTTGTCTTTGTCTTTCTTTAGCCCCACCCCACTACTGGCCTGAGGTTGTGTAATCTTGGTAGTCTGTCTGGTGGAGAGTGTGTTAGAGACTGAGGTTGCCCCAAACAGAACATCAGATCCAAACAGATCTTCCCTATCAGAAGATGGCAGCACTCTGGTACTAAGACTGTCCTTGGTAGGGTCTTTCTTTCCAGCGTCTGTGGATAGTGGCAGTGTCAGTACAGAAGGTCTGGGGGAGATTTCTGAAGGCGTGGGTTGAGTAGGCGAGGAAACAGGCAAGGCTGTGGGTGCAGCTGAGTTAAGTAGTGTCGGACTAGATTGCATCTGGCTGGACTTCTCTGATGGAGGTAAGACTAAACTAGGCAGCCCAGGAACATCTCCACCCAAGGTCTCTTCCCTAACCTCCACAGATCTTTGGACAGCTTGCTGCCTCGCAGCTCTGGACTGGGGTCTCCGATGTCCAGAACCTTTGGCACGACTCTATAGTGACAGAAGATTTGCACTCACAATAATATGTCACAAATCCAAGAAACTGAAAAACACTTAAAATGGTTTTAGACATAATATTCCAGAAACCAAAAGCCCACCTTGTGTGCACTCTGCAGTGTTGTAACCTGGGCTGGGGTGTCAAAACTCACTCCTCCCTCATGGCCTGGCTGGGCTCCTACAGGACTTGTAGCACTGGTGGGGCTCAGACTGGAGCTGGACACCCCAGAAGAAGAACTCGGAGTCATGCCAGGGAGTACACTTACAGCTCCTGGTATACTGGGGACAGCACCAGGGAGCAACGCAGCAGGGTTGATCATCAGATTTGCCTAAACGTGAAAAGAACAGATACCCTAAATAGACTTCTTAAGTAAAATATCCTACATATGTTTGTATGCCTCAGAACTACACATTTTCAGCACCTGTCTGTTCTATGACACTTTTCAGTGTGGTTAGAAGCAACAGATCATTCAGAAGAGAATGAGAAACCAGGGCTGTGGATGGAAATGAGGCAAGTACAAGATGCATGAGCAACATCTAGTGAAACTGAAAGAAAGTGCAAGAACATTCTTCCAGTTCAAAAAAAAAAAAAAGTCAAGCCAATCAGAAAATTATCTGCATTTTGATATTGATGCTGCCAAATCATAGCCAAGTTTTGAAGGTGGAATGTGAAAAAGCCCAGACAGAAGAAGCCTTAAAAGAGAAAACATGTAAGTGGGAACAGTCTTTCCTCAGGAGGAATCGAAGTGAAATGTCAAGAATGAAGACGTTTGATTCAGTAAAAAACAAAAAAATGTTACTTGAAGTATCCCAATCCTTGATGAGGAATCTTTAGCTTTTACAGGGCTTGCTGCAGGTTTCTGTGTGGTCAGATTACAGCAGGATCAGAATTTTACTCAATAAAGGCATTTGTTTTTTTAATTCATTGTAGAAACACCACCATGTTTCAACAGACAGTAAATAATACGTTAGATGTGTTCATCACAACAGAAAGTATAAAAACAGCAAAAATAATTCCTAAATCATAAGCACATGACCACATAGGTATATGTATGCTTCCAACAGACTCACCTTAATCACTGATTCTGGACTTGTTAGTGGTGATCTGTCATTAGGTTTGCTGGGTTTCTCTGCTACTTTCTGGTAATAAAAATTAAACAGGAAAAAAACAAGATTACATTTCTCATGTTGAGCTGAAATTTGAATGATTTGCACAGCTGCATCTTGTTCTGCTGTAACATACAAAGCCGCCCCCCCAAATTGCTACCGGAGGAGGAGCTTTTGGCTTGATCGATGTGAAGAGGTCATCCTCATCATCATCTGCAAACAGGACTTGTGCTGCTGGCTTCACAGAGTTGACTTTGGAGCTCTAAAAAGTAAAGTCACATCTGCTTACCATCTAGTTAGATATCAGCACAGTATGCAGTAGAGGAAAGTGCATTTCTTCTAAAGAGAAAAGAAACAGATAATCAAATAATAGCTAATACCACAGCTTTCCCTGAGGTGGCAAAGAGGTCAACATCTGGGTCATTGTCCTTCTGCTGCATCTGACTGAAAAGCAGCTCCTCATCCTGAAACACACCTGTGCTCTTTGTCCTTGGCCGCGCTTCTGTGGGCTGTAAACAAATAAAAAAAATAAACAAAAAGAAAGATATTTTAATACCATGACTACAGGAAATATGGTATACCAATGTAACTGAATCAGTTTAATGTAAATCATTCAAACCTTTAGTGTGTTTCTGGCTGTAGATTCAGGTGTGAATATTGGATCTTTCCAATCTGAGTCATCTTCCTCCTCATCATCAAAAAGGCTAACAGTGTTTGATTTGACTTTCTCCTCCTTCTTCTCTGCCTTCATAACATTTGGTGGTGGGCTGTCCTTAGAGATGAAGCTGTCATCATTGTCATCTTCATCCAAAGGGCTCTTTGTCTGCTTGCTGGCAACAATATTAATGCCTCCAAAGAGACTGACAGCTCCAGCAGGCTTCTTTTTACTTTCACTATTCTCTGGTGATGATGGGAGTAGCTCAGGGGTCTTTGCTGATGGCTTCTCCGGGACTGAAGGCTTGTTCTTCGATACTGTCCTAGAAACTGCAACATTCTCTGATTTTTCTGTCTGGGAGAACAGCTGACTGGACACAGCAGGTGTCTGAAAAATACAGGAATTACATGATTTTAATCCTAATGTGGGAGACAATGCAAATTAAACGGTGCATCAAATGAACGTTTAGAATATCTAATTTTAAATATCACAGCTTTGTGCCTAACTCACTGAGTCAACTTCATTTTAATTTGGTGTTTTCTGTTTAACTTAAGGATCAAAATGGCCGTCTAGCATAATGAACCTTTATAAGTTCACTGGAGACAAGCTTCAAACCAAGACTGTGTTTTAATGCCAAATATGAAGTATAAAGAATAACTTACTGCACTCACTTTAGCAGCTTGCGCTGCAGTATTAGTGCTGACAGCAGGTTTGATGCCAAAGAGAGATCCTTTATCCTCATCATCATCACCCTCATCTTCAGACAAGAGAGCAACTCTCTGAGGCTTCTTGAGACTATGTGACAGAACAGGAGGACAGGTAAGAATTCCTGGCAATACAATATTTCAAAATATCTGCTTTTAATGTAAGAAAGGAAAAAATATAAATAACAAATACCTTGACTCTTTTGTTGGAGCAAACAAGTCGTCATCATCATTAAAGAGGCTGCTCCTTTGAGATGAGTTGGCACTGGGTAGACTGGAAGGGGCACTGGCACTGGGTTTCATCCTTCCTGTCTTGGTCTCTGGCTTTGTTGCACCATTTTTGGGACTTATCCACTGGTCCTGATGATTAAAATTTTTTTTCTTTCAAGTTGTGTATTTAATTACATACTGTTAGGCAATTGACCAAATATAACATTTTGTATTGCCCTACCTCATCATCACTGAAGAGGGAGCTGGAGACAGTCTTACTGGGTTGTGGTGTGGAGGCTTTAGCTTGATTAGCTTTTGAGTTAGATTTAGCTGCAGATGCAAACAGATCCTGCAAGATGAAGAACCACGTTAATGTAATGTACACAAGGCACAAACAAGCCCGACCTAATTCAATTTTGTTCAAGTGCATTAAATGTTAATCATTTTTTCCTCACCTCTTCTTCCTCATCATCAAATAAGGACAAAGGGAGCTTGCCGATTTTGCTCTGACTTGTAGGTTCAGGTTTAGACTGACTCTTAGGGATGGCTGGAAATATCTGTGGAAGACAAATACATACGTAGTGTAATTAAAATATATATTATCAATGGCTCTCATTCACTAGCATCGTCCTAAGTGTTTTCTTACATTTCTTTGTAGGCTGTTCTTAAGAAAGCTCCTAAGAAAAGTCTACGTCTGATTCAGGAACACCTTCTTAAACCAGAATTGTTCACACCTGTGTTTTTAAATCGATGAATCCCATGTATTTGTCAGTTGAAAGCGTGTGCCAGTCGTCCCTAATTAGCATAGATTAACACCCCACCAATGCCCAAAAAAAGGCCTGAGAGAGCACAGAGAAAACGGAAAGCTAAGTTGAGAAAGCCAGTAATGCTACAATGAAACCTAAAGATGGTGGAGCAACAAACTCCAAACCAAAGAAAAACTTGAGTAGTTACGAAGTGGAGAACAGTGAATGAGCTTCCACATTTAATAGCGTTAGTAAAGGATATAAAATAAAACAAAGCAGACACATGGGATCCTCTTACTCATTCATGAACTCTGTATGAGGACAACCAAATGCTTACACAGTAGCCAAAATATCCAAGAGAGAAAGAAATTAGAAACAGAGATATGCACCTTAACATGTTTGGTTTATAAGTAACGAGTTCCTAATTCTAAACCACAAATAATCGCACTGCAAAAGTTCATTTTAAAACCTTAAAAACAAAATGTATTACTTGCTGTAATTTTTAGTGTACTGTTTATTTACTTTAAAAGACCGTAATGCCATAATCTTAATAAAAACTTTGTAAGTAGGTTTTACAAGCAAGTTTCTTCTTAAGAATGGTTGGTGAATGAGACCCACTGTTACTATTTTTATCCCAGCAAAGAGAGAATTACTTGTGTATCTTCATCGTCAGAGAACAGGCCTCTGGTCTGGGGTTTCTGAGTCTGTTTGACAGCAGCTTTCCCAACATCTCCAGGAGGCCCAGTCTGGAACATAAAATGAAGATGAAAATATATAAAAATGTATAAACAGCTTTTCAAATTCTAACTTGAAATGTTTATCTTGAAAGAAAATATTGGTGTGGAGCAAAGAGATGTGAAGTGCGTCAACAGGAGTAAAGGCCAACAGTGTACTCCAAATTTAAATCAAGTTTGCCCCTTTTCTCACACTGCACTCAAATATGGCACACGGAGCTACATCAATACACTGAATGGAACACGGTCTGTGCGGTTAATGGATTCCATGCCTCATAAATGAGCTTGTGAATCACTGTAGGAGCAAACACAACCTCATAGCATTATACTAATACATATTTCTCTGCAGATAAAACATGAAATACACTGGCTAACAGCACAGTGGAGTCCTTTTGCACGTGAAAACAAAATTTGATTTTGTTAGACAATTATCTATTCAGACCTCCTCAGATTTCGAAGACTCCTCACTAGTAGGTGGCTGACGTTTTTTCAGGCCTTCACTGAGCAAGCTTTTGGTTTCTGGACCAAACATAGAGACGGCCCCCGCCAGCACCTAAATATAACAATTAATTACCAACACAGGAACTATTCAAAAATTCAAAAAGTTACTACATAGATATACCAAACACAATATGTATGTTACTACTGTGAGTCACTCTTTTGTAGATCTTTACCTTTTTGTCAGGTGGTTTGCCTTGTTCTTCCACTACCTCATTCTTGCTCTGAGCTGGAGTTGGCACATTAGACTTCTCACTGAACATGTCACCATCCTCGTCATCTTCATCAAATAGGTCAATAGCCTTCTTGGGTTTGGGTTTCTCCATCCCAGCTGAAAAACACACAACACACAGTGGTTCGAGACTGAGCACTTGGACTGTAGCATTAAATTGACAACACACATACTTACCAGAATCAGACTTTTTCAGGCTTTTACCACTGAAGAAGTAATCTTCATCATCATCATCATCAAACAGCCCACCTCCTCCCCCACTGGCTCCTGCTGGAACCTGTTTGGAAGCAGCGTTGGTCTTGGGAGATGAAGTTCCATTTTCCTTGCTCTCCAGTGAATCCGAGTCATTCCCTGAACTGAACAGGCTGTTAGCTGTAGAGAGAAAGTGTATGTCTGAGGATGATGAAGAAGATAGATAGAAGTGATAATAGCTGTCATAGAAACAACTGCGACTACCTGGGAATATTGGAACAGCACCCGGTGGAATCTTCTTCCCAGGTTTGCCAGAATCTTGGACGAAAAGAAAAGTTATGTGACAATCTGCAAGTCCTCTTTTTCCCCTAGATATTTATTAACCTATACTGTTTTCTTACCTATAGTTTGAGCTGTGCTCTTTGTGCTTTCATTCAGTGCTTTTTTATCATCCAACACAGGAGGTTTTTGTGCCTCAGAAAAAAGATCACCCTAAATAGCATAAGACAATACAGCACAAATCAAAATCTGTCTGCAGTCAGGAGTTTCTGTAGTGTGAAATTAGTGTGAATCAGAGAGAGCACCTAAAATCATTTAGGTCAATGTACCTCATCATCATCAAATAGACCTCTCCCTCCACTGAAGAGGCCACTTTTCCCACCAAATGGGGAGAACTCATCATCATCCATCTTGGGTGGCTTAAACATGTCATCGCTGTCCTCTTCAGCAGCTATTACAGTATACATAAACAGCATTATACTGGAAACACTGGTTCTGCTGTGGAAACAACTAATGCAAAACAAAACAAAAAGTCTGAATCATACTGATGATGAATGAAAGTTCATTCATTTCCTACCCTGTGGTTTTGCAGGCTTTGGTGGTTTCCTGCCTTTACCTTTCTTCTTAGATGCCAATGCTTCCAAAACATGACATGGTAGAAAGAAAATATCCATGAACATGCACATGCAGTGAAGGGACTCCAAAATGCTTTGTGTGAATCTCAAATGTAAACTTTGATGCTTTGACTTTTACTTAAATGACATTATCAAGTGTGAGAGGAACAAAAACATTAAATGAAAATTCATTGTGAGATGATATGATAAACGACCAGTTGTTTGATAACTGGTTTAAAAACTTACATGCACCATCTCCCTCTGGGGTGTTCACTGGTTCACCTTTGATTCGAGCTGCCAGCTCATCAGCAAAAGATGATGGGCCTGTATTCTTTTTTTTATTGTAACACAAATAATACATTTACAGGACAAAGGACATAACATAGAAGATGAGACAGAAGACATTAACAAAAGAGACTAATGGATTATTTAATTTAGTTTGTGTGTATATCTGACTCTATGCAGACTGAGCAAAGGCATACCTTTGAGTTATCATCATCATCATCTTCTTTGTCTGATTCTCCAAATATGTCAGAATCTTCATCCTCCTCCTCGTCGTCATCCTCATAACTCAACATGGATGACTTCTAGGTGAGTGTGGGAAAAGAGTTCAAAATTGTAAATCTCTTCCAATATAATGTTGGATATGCTGGTCAAACAGACATCCAGCTTACCCTCTTAATATTATTGTGACCTTCATCCTCCTCTTGACTAAAGTCATCATCTGAATTCTATAAACAAATGCAATGAGGTTTTTTTTTTTTAACTTTACTGTATAAAATGTGGGGTTAAAAACCCTGGAAAAAAAAACAAAACAGGTCTTACAACTGCTTCTTTGCCATCTTTGCTCTCAATCACGCTGTCTCTGTCACTGTCAACAGACATTTCTGGAAAGAGAATCATACACATACAATGGAAGAAATTATTGCTTTAATGTACAGGTGCCTAAAGAAGCTGCCGTCAGTATATTACCATCACTTGAGAGGTCACCAAGTCCAACATCATCTTGTTCCATGAAGGCCCGGGAACCAATCAGATATGGAAGTGGCCTGTCCACATAAAGATCCTAAAAGATGAGGAGACGCACAAGCTACAGTGCAATCATGTAAATTTAGATCAGCACATACATTTTTATAGTAATTGTTGTAATTCTCTTTACTGATTCAAGATTGAAAGCACACCTTGGGCTCTAAGATGGCTTCCATTCTGTCAGCGACCTCCTCATCCTCTGAGTCAGAGTTTCCTGCTTTGATGTCCAGATGCTCAAAGGCTGACTCCAGCACTTTCAGACCATAACTCACAGCTTCCTGCATCTTAGGGATCAATTCTGCCTCTTTCTGCTCTCGAGTCTTCTCCTTAAGGGAAAATACAGATGACAGTCACAGGGCTAGTCACATGGCAGTGCAAGACATGTGGGTGCTGTGGCCATATTATCCTGAAAATAGTAGTACTGAAATGTATAGGCAATGTTACGAGCAGGAATAAATAATTTCATATACCTGCTCTGGCTGCTTCTCCAAAGCATCAGCCTTGGGTATAGTTTCTTCTACATCTTCATCATATACTCTCTGCAGCAGAACATGTGCAGGATTTCTTTGTTACCACACAGGTTGCAAAACTTTACCATAAGTGAAATGTCACAGTTCAAGTATAACATGTAAACATAAAGTACAATCAAATGTTTCAATGATATACATTACATTTTCTATAAACTGTGTATTGGAGAGCATGAGAAAGTCATTAAAGACAGAGTGCAAGCAGCTGTCTGTGGCCTTGACGTCACGGATCAGACTGTCCAACTGCTTTTCAATCTCATGCGTCTTTGACAACATTTTATGGGAGAAGTCTTGGAGGAACAAGAAGAGCTGTAGGGGAAAAAAAAAGGTTATTGACACAGCAACAGTTGCATGGTTTCCTTTATTATACTAAAGCAGAACACATTTCATAATCCTGTCAACTAATCAGATTTATAAAGTGTTTCTTTAATTATTTGAGAAAATATGACGATCAATTACTGTCTTTTTAGCCATTTCTTACCCCTGAGTCAGCTGCCAAGGACCAATTGGCACTGCTCTGTCGCATCTCTTCAAGAGTCCAGGGTCTCTCCCAAATTTGAGCATCTTTCTTTAAGTGTTCACTCCTGCTTGGGCCATTTGCCATTCCCCCTGGCACCTCACTCATCTAGTCAGATCATTAGTAATGGAATGAATCATTCAGAAGACCTTTTAAATAACTAATTAACAGATCATTAATCACTCTTATTTTAATTTTCCTATTAGAACCTGTCTCTGTCTAATTTAAACAGTTGAGAGACTGAATGTAAAAGAACAACTTAAGCAACCTTTACCTGCAACAGGCTGTCTTCTGCAAAATTGTTACATTACTGCCAAAGGTCAAACCATAAAGTGTAATGGTCACACTTTATCTGCTAGAAAATTTTCAAAGCTCTTTATTGCCTCATACTCTTCATAACCTGCATCAGCTCTATCAATAGTTAATACAAAAAGTAAGTTCTGCGACAGGATTGTGGCATTCCTCAGGCCTTCCACCAAATCAACAACTCATACAGCTACAGCTCTCTTTCCGCACAAACGCTTCTGTAAAACAAACTGAGCACAAAGACCATTTATGCCGATGTATATGCATGTGTGGTGTGTTCATGTTATTGTGTATGCCAGTGTCCATAAATCCGAAAGGCATTTGTCCTCTGAGATAGTAGCAATATTAATGCATTCTTCTCACTTTGACATAATACCTCAATAAAAACCTATGTGAGCCCACACAGTCAGATTCAATCCCAATAGACTAGGTCCAAAACTAATTGATGACAAGATAAATCCAAAACGTTACGTTACATCCTCAGACTTCCTGCACATGCAATGGCTATCTTTGTGTAGGTATATAATAACTTTGGTTTCCAGAGGCGGTGAAATACCCAAAGATAAATTCCATTATAACTTTTAATATTAGCTTCCCTTTAATTTACGTAGCTTCACTGCTACACTTGCGATGCAACAATCTAGTTTGGGCAATAACGTTAATTATTTGCGTAAGACAACCTGTTGCGTACACTTGATATTGCCAAAACGTTATTTCCTCCAACTGGCTTTCACATTCAAACACATTTACTTCTGTAAAAGAAGAGCGGGACTGTTTAGCCAGCAGTTAGCTCAACTTAGCTAGCCAACAATAACGTTAGTTTCAGCAGCTCCAAGCAATATAGAGTAATATATCCCCAAATTTAAGCACTCTCATGCTTACCTCTGGTTGACTGCTGTTCACGACGGTCAACTGTGGTCAGAAACGCCGTAAATAATAAGATCGATTATACTAAATCTGGCCTTTCCCTCACTTGTCCTCTGACAGGTCAGCCATGTTCTGTCTGCAGACAATCACCTGACTATCGTTGCCTAGCAACTCAGTGAAAGTGGGGCGGAGTCGAACAAAACAGCAACGCAAGCTAATTCTTATAGCTAAAAACAACCTGATGCTACTGTGATGAAAAACAAAGCTGTTTTCTATTTTAGTCATTGATTACCAAATTCACACACTCCTATCTGGGCCTAAGAACGATTTGTTATATTTATACTGTTCTATTTAAACATTTGAAATCAAAAGTTACTTTAACATTGAGAGCTACTCCTCTTTAGCTATTTCAAAAGCTAGGCGTATTTTGTTCCTAACATTCTGAACCTCTCATGTACAGTATGTAGCTAGGGAGGACAAAAAATATAGACACGTCTAAATATAATGCAATCCAGTACAACACCGCCTTTAACTATGGCCTCAATAATAAACATATAATTGAACTTATACATTTATGACAATTTCACCGAAAACTAACATTTTGAGCTTCATCAACACAAATGTTAAAGCACAAGTGTTGCACTGAATTACATACAGTTGTACCTAATAAAGTGGCTGGTGAGTGTATTCTTAAAATGGTAAAGTGTAAATTGGTTGAATACAATTTGTCTGATTTACAAAGACAACAAACAATTCTGTCAAAATTTACTTTCTGTATTTGACAGCTGTAAAAAAAAAAAGTATTAAAAAATGTTTTTCCTGAAAAGGACATTTTACAAAAATGCATATATTCAACAGTAAAAATATAACAAGTCAACAAAAATATGTGCATGGGAATTATTTACAAAGTAAATGTAAAAAGCCTTTTTGAAACCAGGGTAGGAAAAGCACAGGTGTAAATAACAAAATGATAGTTGAATTCAATATAGTTGCCTCAGTTTCAGCATTATGGTGTTGTTTATGTGGTCAGCCTGGCAAGGCTTTACTCTGACAAAATGAGAATGAAACGGAGCATTCAGTAAGGCTACTAGTAAGGCCTGTGATTTTCCTAACATGTCTGCTCTGCTGGGAAAAAACCCTACAGCAGTTGAATAGTTAATGTAAGTAACAAAACTGCAGAAAACCTAATGGTTTTAAGCTAACTTAATGGAAACATATTGCATAAGATTCTGAAAAGCAAATTTTGCTTTAACTAAATGAAGCCATTGTTCATGAGTTTGTATCATAGCCCAGTCCTTGTCAACACACCATGTAAATGCAGATATTCCATTGGGATCCAGGGAAACATGAGTCAGTTATTCTCATGTAATGGGAAAACTATTTGGGTCTTTGTAGCATAAAACCATACATGTAGTACAGCACAATCAGCTTTTCAGTTATTCAGGCTGGCTGAGGAGCGCACAGACACAAATGACTTATGAGAAATTCCAAAATTTTAACAAATGAATATAAATGACAAACAGGATGCAAATGTTTCGCACCCCAAATAAACAGGTCACTGTAGGCAGTTAACTGCATTATGTGACACATATGTGCTATCCATATTTTTACTTATTGCACAGAACAGAATGACCAAAAACAGTGGTACCATAAAGAGCAATTTGGACAGAAAGTTATTTTTCAAAAAAAGACACATTAAAAGTATATTTTATTTCTTTAGCTGTATTAACCAAAAATTAGATAAGGCCTCTCATCCAAAATGGTTTTATTCATAAATAATTAAAATTTGTACTGAAAATTGAGCTTAGGGGTAGGGCATGACAGGCAATTAGTGCAAACTGAGTTTATTATTAAGGCAACAGCATTTAAAGCCCTGAAAACAAGAACTATGACACCAAATCATATGCTGCTATCTGGTTATGGTGAGTAGTTGTTCTCATGTCAACCGTATTTTCAGTGTTCACCTGAATGCACTCTGTGTTACCAGCCTCCTTGTGCACTTGAGGCTCTGTCTCTGGCATATCTTGGTTCAACTCCCTAGGCCCTTGATCCATCGCCTCTTTGGTTTCATTTGAGTCATCCACTGAACTGTCGCCGTCATTTTCTCCTAGCTTTCCATCTTGCATCATGTCCTCTTCTGCCTCGAGCCGCTCCTCATCGTCAGTGACCTTTTTGGCTTCATCATCTTCAGCACCACTGGATTCTTCCTCTTGTTCATCTCCTTCCATCAAAGTGTCCTCTCCATCATCACTGCTGTCCATCTCCTGCTCTTCTTGGCTGTTGATCGGTGTATCCTCAGGCAGAGGCTGCCAATAATCATATAGCTTATCCTAAGTGAGGAAATATAGCAATGCAAGTGAGAATTATACAATCGTTTTCTAATGGAATAGTCTTGAACTGAACCTGTTATAAGAATCCATTGTTCATGTTTTAGAATGACACATTTTTAAAGAAATCTTCTTAAAAAAAGATTCATATAAGAGAGTGTGTGACTACTGTACATGTAGAGGCCTGGTCCTCTGAAGGAGCATCTGCCACTTTGTGGAGATCCTGGCCACCAGGTCCTTTACCTGAGGGAGAACACAAAGGCTCACACAGTCAGCCATTTTACACATTCACACTAATAAATAAATCTGAGGCCATGATTCTCACAGGTATTGAAGTAAATCATAGTTTAAGTAAAAATGCCAAAGCTCCACTGGTTCCAGCTCTTCAAATGTAGGTTTACCTACTTGGACTGATGCACTGATCAAATAACATTCAGTCCAACATCATCCATGCAAAGTACAAACTTTGATGTTAAGACTTTATTTTGGCACTCATTTCACCCATCCTCACAGCTATGCCTTTCTGCTGAAGCACAGTTCTCTTCATATTGGAAAACAAGTAGCAAGTGTTGCAGCAACCTGCTACGCTGAATGGGAATTCACTCTAAAAATGAGATGCGAGTGGCAGATAGCTACTGAAGCATTCCATCCCTTTACTCCGTGTAGTGGAAGTTGGTCCTCACCAGGCTGACTGACAGCAGAAATGCACTAGACAACACTTGTTTACTTAATGTGTTGAAGTTTAAATAATTATATAAAAAAGACCCACATCTCACACACGTATGGAAGTCTTTTGTATGAGACAGGTTAGTGACAGACATCAAAAAGACTCCTAAAAAACACACACTATGTGAACTGACCTTGCGCTGTAGCAGACATAATAAAATCCTTGATAAACTGATTTGAATAGAGAGAGATACTCTGGCAGGTGGAATGACAGGTAGGTCCACTTCAGCTGGTTTATCAGGCATGTAGAGGTGCTGGGGAATGCCACACTCATACTTAAGGACCTAATAATTATGATATTTTGAGGCTTCTTTCGCTTCATCTCATCAAGAACTGCACTTTATTTGACTCAGTTATCATAGATTTTTGCTATTTATTTATTCTCATGATGTATGAAAATACTCACAAATGATTGAAGTTCCTTTTGAAACTATACTCACTTTGCTCCTGTAAAGACATTTCTCACTCTCTCTGATGTCACACTTAACATGTGTTTCCAACTCAGAGCACAGTAACAGCAGCTGCCCCTGAGAGCCAGAAAAACGGAAAGTCTACATTAACACACAAATATATAGCACCATACTAAAACATGTAAAACTCCACAAAACATCTGCCAAATAGAACAATAAATAAATAAAGACCATAGGACAGGCTCTACCTTCTGATGAGCTGAGAAGAAGTAAAAATTTGAGGCTTCATTTGCCAAGGTCAGAAGGCTATAGCAGAGGTAGTATGCCTGGGACACATAATAAATGGAAAGCAAATGCACAAAATCATGTCTAATTCATTCAGAATAAGGAGTAGTTAAAATCCTATGATTCTTTTATTTCCACACAATAAGACAACTAGGCATGAAAAACAAAACATGCACATTTTAAAATGTAACATTTTGAAGCTCATGGTAAACTATATGCTCACCTGTTGGTCAAGGGTGGCCGTGTCCTCCTCTTTATCTTTCTGACTCCTGCTGGAGGAGCTCAGCAAACCACGAAGAAGGGTGGATGGTTGCATACGGGGCAGATACGGCCTAAGATTAGAGAGCTGAGTACCATGCAGAAAAAGACAGGAAGAACTACAGATTACCAAAGACATTCTTTAAAGTGCAATATTCATTTAATAAACAAAAAAACAACACCACTGTACTAATTTGAAGTGCTGGCACCTAAAGAAAATTATCCAGGTATAGGTTACACTGAAACACATTACCTGAAACTCTTTTTCTATAGGTCTGTAAGTGCAATTTCCATCCAAGAGCTTCGAGATCATGGACAGGCTCAGATGTCGGCGCAGCTGCCTATACAAACAAACAACACAAATGAACACAAAATGTTGTGCTAAATAACGTCTAAAAAATGGAGGTAAGCAGACCAGAGAGAAAAAAGAAAAACAAAACTTGCTTTCCACGTTTGTTGTCAGGCAGCCGTTGAACTAGCAGGCACATGTTGTGGTGGTCATCTGTCAAATCAGTGAGGGCCAGACAGATTCTGGGCAGCTTTAGACAGTTTAAATAAACAGTAACAAATTAGCCGGGTAAATAATTTCACAAGTGGCAACAAGACTATAATGCAGATTTTAATAATTACTGATATGAGTAAAATGTCAAATAAAACAGCAAAAACAAATGTGTACTCTAATGGTAATGTAATCTGTGATTCTCACAATCCCTCTGAAATTTCTGCAAATCAAAGAATCAGATGCATGCGTGCACTGACCATGGTGTCCCAGTCCCTGATGCTGTCAATAACTTTATGCTGTACAGGGTGCAGGTCTTCACCGGACTGGAGGATGAGGTGAGTGTCCAAGCTAATTCTTCCCACCATAGTTAGCAGCAATAGCAGCTCATCGTCACTGTACGCCCATGGACAGAGGTTCATACTATAAGCCATGTACTACAAAGAAGAACACAAGAGAAGCAACCAAGCAATGAAAGATATGAATGATGAAGCTTTGCTTTCTCTGACAAACTTTGCCAAACACAAGCATAAATTGTTCCTATCAGACATCTGTTTCCTATCACATCTCACCTTCAAGACGTTATTATAGTTGTGTTCAGGGAAAGTGCTCTGTTCCGTGTTACTGGAGGGACTTTCAATTTTCCTATAGTCATCCTCTCTACACAAAACACACAAGTTCAACTACATGAAATTAAGGAAATGTAAAAAACAATTCTAATATGGTTTTAAATAAAAGGGAACAAAATAAGCAAGCGATGCTTCAGACAGAAACGCTACTTACAGCAAATCTCCCTCTGTGAATGAAGGCTGCAGATTCTCAAGAGGGAAGAGAGCAACAAATGGTACTCCCATATTCATCAGGACCAGTGTCACATCAGCCAAACTTGGCACCCACACTTTAAACTTCTGGCTTCCTTTTTTTGCTGAAGAGGTACGCACACAGTAAAATCATACATTAATCTGTATAAACAACTTATAGTGAGGAAATGCCAAACGTCTGTAGAGGTAAAAAAATATAGTAACCTCTCTGATAAGCAGCAGTGTAGGCAATGTCACAGAGGGCCTGTAGCAAGTTTTTGGATACCAACCTCTCACGATGAACTGACATCATCTGACAAGATCAACAAAAAATTACTGCCAATATCCAGACGTTTGGCCAAAACTCACTATTAATGTAACAGAGTTGTGTGAGAGGCCCACCTTGAAAAAGAAACGGGTAACCTGAGCTGGACAGGGTGAGTAGCAGTTATAAGCTTCCTGGATCAAACCGATATTCACATGCAATCTCAACTGAACAGGACTGGACCTGATAAACAGGGGAAGTAGATAAAGAAAGATTAGATTAATTTAGTCAAGAGACAGTACTCTGAAACTTCATGTGCGTGTACACACTCCAACAGCTCACCAAAGAAGTGTTTTCTGTGCTGCCCCCTGTGGATTGACCATGCAATTCCTGAGCTGCAGTGTATCTTTATTGAAGATCTGGCCAAATTTCCCCAGGTTGAACACCACTTCTCCTGGAGCCACTTCTCTGATTGCATTGGACATCAGTGTGTAACGCTGCAGGAATTCCCTGGGATAAAAAAAAAAAAAAAAAAAAATGCATATTACATTTAATAACTGTGCATGGACTGTGTCCCAGTCACAAGTACAATGGAACAGTGTACTTCTACATGTCTTACTGTTGTTCTGTGGAGATGCCCTCCTCTTGGTTCTCTTCTGACTCCTCATACTCAGCTATTCTCAACAGGTCTTCTTGACATGCAGTTAGAAGCCGTGTCTCAAACTCTTTAGCTCTGATGAATAAAAATGTTGAGAAAATTAACTCCTCTCATGAGCAGCTACTGTAGCTCAAATAGGTAACAGGGGTTAGCATTTTCTGAATAATGTACTTTTTACTCATGTTTATTTCCTTCAGCATCTGATCAAGGTTGTTCTTGTAAATGCCTGAGTTTGTGGTGGACGGCAAAGGCTGCTGTGGAAAACAACAGATGACATTTAAAATCCAAAAAAAACAAACAAAACAAAAAAACAGTTTGAGAGTTTTACTGGTTCTTTAGCTTGGCACGGTCATCATGTTATATTCATAATCTTATGTACAATAAAGACAAACAATGAAGAGCTTACAGTTTTTAACTGGCAGCTGTGATGTCCAGGTGTACTAGGCTCTGAGAAGGCTCCCTTCTCTGGTGTACCAGGAGGCTTGGTGACACGTGCCATCATCTCCTGAAATGAAAGCAGCTGCTCATCCTCGCTGCTATGTGAGCTCTGGCTTAGATCCAAATCTAACTCAAAGTTTAGGCCAAGCTCCACATCTGTGGAATCCTCTTCATTCACATGCTTTCTGCTCCCTTCACTTGGCAGCCTCTCCAGTGGTGAAGACTTAGAAAAAGAGGATGGTGAAGTCTGTTTTGATGCAGTAGTGTTAGTGTCTAAAGGACATAAACTCTCCTCCCCAACAATGAAAGATGTTTGTTTCTCACTAGATTTATCACTCTCTTCTGTAACATGCCTGCCTGAAGAAGTGAAGCGACTGTTTTTGAGTTCCCCATCTTTAGAACAAAGGTGTTTTATGTTTTCAGGTTTTACCCGCTGTAAACATACAGTTGGCATTAAGATTTGTGGATTATGTGCTGAGAAAGACACTTTGGTGTCCCCTGCATGAGCAGAACCAGAATCTGTGGAGTTCTGAGTTTTGTGACACAAGGATCCAGTAACTGGGTTACTAGAGCTGTTTGCAGTGCTGGATGAGCAACTTTTCTCTGAGGTGGGTAATTTGATTGTTGCTCTATCTATCTTTGACTTTGTAGTCTTATGTGGAGGGCTGACTACATAGGTTACAGGGTCAGGGGTAAAGAGCTCATCTGCATTATCAGGTATGACTACAGATCTTCGTGGGCGGGCAGTTTTATTTCGTTCTACCACACCATTACCTCTGCTCAAGGTCTTGTCTGGTAAGGCTGAGGTACTATGGTGAGTATGCCCAGAGTGACTGCTGCCTAACCGAACATGAGGTAAACTACTAGTCTCTTTCTGGGGAGCTTCAGGGGATAAAGGGTTTGATTTACCCCTTTTATCACTGTCCTCACTTCTTCTCCTCATTCTTTCTTCACAGGGTTTTGAAGATGACACTAACTGCACAATATGAGTTTCACTGGACTTTATATAGGCCTGCTTTGCCCCCATTGGCGGTCTTTCCTTTATAGGTTTGGGTGACAGTGATGTGCAGAATGACTGAGACGATTTAATGGTGGATGATGGTTCCAAGCTTGTTGCTTGGCCAAATGCTGACTCTGTGCACAGATGGCTCTCTGTGGTCTTGGGTGAAGTGCTGATTAAGTTGCCACCAGTGGGCTTAGGTGCCTTTGCTTTGCCAGAGTTTGCACCCTGAAAACACAGTTTCTTGGCATTGTCTTCATTGTCCTCAAAATCCCTGGGCCTCTTCTTAGATAAGCAATTCAGTTCCACTGCTGGTGACAGAAAAAGACAAATTTTATTTTTAACCAATATTCTGTGTTTATCACTGTCCACCAGTGTCAATGTTGACAAGAATTTACCTTGCTACCATGTAAAATCTGAATGCGTTAATCAGATAATTACCCACAGGCTACAATCTGTTACCAAAAGCAGAATCTGTCAGAATTGCAATGACCCGATTAATCAGTCAATAGAAAATTAACTGGAAACTACTCTGATAATCATTAGAACATTTTTACGGAAACAACCATTTGATGGTTCTAGGTTTTCAAATCAAAGAATGTACTGCTTTTCACTGTCCTGTGTGATAGTCAATTAACATTTCTCACCATTTTTGGTGTTTCATAGTGAAAATGTGATAGTAAATTAACATTTCTCACCATTTTTGGTGTTTTATAGTGAAAACAATTAACTGAGAATATACTAAGCAGATCAGTTAATAGTGAAAATAATCATTAGTTGCAGCCCTGATATATACAGTAGCATCAAACAGTTCAACTATAAAAGCTACAAGATGAGAACCATTAAAGTACCAACGAGATTACAGACTGAAGCTTTGAGTAAGAAGTGAACAAGAAGGAAAATGGACAGCTGATTGAATCTAAACTGTAGAAAAATGACTTAAAAAAAAAATCAATAGAATGTGTACTGACATATAGACTTCATATTACTTTAACAAATTTCTTTATAAAGGACATAGTTGAATAATTAACAATATTACCTGGAATTGACTTTTCACTTGAAGATGCCCGTTTATGTTGTTGGCCCTAAAAACGAAAACAAAATGTGACTCTTATGTGACAGGCTTCCTTTACTGAATTTTCAGCGGAAATGATAGTGCTACTATGCAAAACAGCTTAAGGCAGCTGAAAAGAAACCATCCTGCAGAATAAATACAGTGACTTCTCACAGGTGACAAAGGCCAAGGTAGCACCAAAGCTTCAAACTCTGGAAGGTAGTATTTAGGTTAATTTATTGTTATTGGCAGATACCCAATATTAAAGGACTCGGATTGAGCCAAAAATGACACTTGACTTGGATATCCCTCACATGTTACAAGTATACTTAAAGAAATAAAGACTGAAACTGTCATATTTCTTTATTAATATAAACATTACATTAACTGTTCCAAGCAAGTGCTACTGCAGCTTCTGTGTTGATGGACAAGTGGACTACAACCTACTGACTGGTTAGGAACAAAATAACATCTTCCAAATAGAAAACAGCTAACGTTAAAGTGATGACAAACTGAATAATCTGGTGAAACAAAACTGCAATTCAGTCTCATTATATTCTCCATTATAATCTCTTTGTTATAAAAACTCTACTGCCAATGGCACGAACTAGCATTCTTTTACTATAATTGCTGACTATACCTTTAACTGGACGTGCTATTAAACAGAGAAGAAACTGTACCTGGCAAGGGGCTATGTGGCTGTGTGGGATAGGTACACTGGAACCACTACCCCTATCAGAAGACTGGGTACTCGGAGAAAGCTGGCAGCCTAGCGGGGTCCACAAGTGTGCTGACTCTGAGGGTGGATAAACTTCTTGGGCTGCTCTGCTATTGAGTGATGGGATCACAGGGGCTCTGTGCTGCTGCACATCACTGGATTGAGCCTAACGGAAAAAATGTTAAGAGCCACCACAATTTAGCCTTACATTACTTCTTTAGCTTGGGTAATAATGCACATTCTAACAAAACTAGGTTTCAACAACACTATATTTTACAAAAATGAATACCTTATTTTTTTCTTGACTTTTCGCAGTCACAGTTTTACTTCCTGGGTGAGACAAAGTGACCTTGGATTCAGTCACTTGAACTCTCTTGATGTGGGGGGACAATGAGTGGTTGCTTAAATCCTTCATGAATTGAGGTGATGCCTGATGAAAAATACTGGGAGTTGAGGGCTGTGGCCTATTAGTTGAGGTGCCAATGTTACTTGGACTGAACGGAACAAATGGTGAGGAGCAGTAAGCCTTTGGGGCTTGAACAGAGTGCTGTGGAGGACCTAGTCCAGTGTGATGGCACCTATTTGTTGGGGCTCCAATGCTAGCTGGGCTGCTTGGAACAAATCCTAATGAATGCACTGGTCCCAGGGGGTGAAGAGGATGCTGAGGTGGACCCAGTTTGTCCCTGTAACACAGCTCAGGGCTCTGAAGTGGAAACGCTCTCTTGGGTGGTGGGTAAGAAAGCCGGTTAGGGACTTCAGAGCGCTTCATTGGAGTCTCCAGGTGAAAAGATGTGAAATGTAGTTAGGAGCGCTGCTGCAGTGGGAAGTCCTTTGCTAAAACACAGATGAACCAAGAAAACACATTACGGTCTAAAGTCTCCGTAAATATATGGGACCACTGAATGCTTTAATGTGAAGAGGGTTGAACATGTTATTTGTCAGCTAGCCAGGGCCCATGATACCTGTCTGTACCAGTACATGCTCACACATCATTTTACTGTATATCTGTTCAGTTCAATTCAACAGCATCACAAACATCTCCCTACTAAACTACAACAAAAGTTAATCAAACACCTCTCCAAACAGTAAAAAAAAAAAAAACCCATAACATTACAACAATGACCACGAGAGGCTTCACAACAGGGCTGTTGTATTTTCGGTTTGTTTAAAAGCGGATTGCCTATCAGACCCTTTTGCTCCCTCCTTTAGTACGCTACAGTTACACATTCAATTAAAGTGTACCATACATCATGATGTAAATTTTGCTAAATAACGCTACATCGTTAACTCCCTAATGCAGGTTCTGACATTTAGGCCCACCTTTACTCTTCGGGAAGATGTATTCTGCAAGCGTCCTGTAAGAAAGCCAGAGAGGCAGAACTGGTCATGTTCAGTTACTTTTGTAACCAAGACGACAATAATGCAACTAAGTGGTGCGTTATTATACGTTTAAATTAGAAGATGCCAGAGAAGCGTCAAGACCACCCAAAACTAGCAGAGCTGCCCTACTAACTTACAACCAACAAAAAGAAAACACCTTTCCGCTTTCTACCAATCACAGAATGCTACGAAAACTCGAATCCATTAGGAAATGATTTAAAGCTCTAGCTAAATTTAACTTGTATGCTGCTTTAAGATTGTAGTATTGCTTATATTGTTGCTGTATGCAGTATAGCTGCAGTATTCAGAATCCAAAAATCACAAAAGCAATGTTGACAAAGTAATACAAAGGAAACAAAGTATGCTAGCAAACAAAACAATACTGAACGTTAGTGTTAGCTAACGCTAGCCAGTGTTGTTAGGTGACATCTTCTGTTACATAGTGTTAGTCTCGCTTTCACAACAAACAACCTCGCTAACAGTATAACTGTGATATCTGCACCTTTCATCTCCCAGGCAGATATCAGCGTTTACTCACTGTGCCTGGATAACTTTAATTTCAAATAATACTGAATATTAGCAAGGCGTTTCAGGAAGTGTGCGGTTTAGCTAGCTATTTAACGCGCTTACAACGTAGCAATGGAGTGCAAACAAAGTTCGTCGGTTTTCTTACTGAGTGTTGAGTTGATTTTCTGTCGCTTTTCTCATTTTGTGAATTGCACATGCAGCACAAATAGCGACTCAGACATCCAAGGCTAATAATCTTCTCCCGCCTGACCGTATCCTCCAATATTGCACGAAAAGAATTATGGAACTTGAAGTCTTCTTTATTATTATTATCATTTAATTTTAATGTAGGGCTACAAACACGTTGAAGCTACATATCGCCACCTACTGTACCGGAATGTTTACTTCATTACAATGTCCACATCATTACTCACTTTGGTTCTGATTAGACCTTCTTCCTTTAAATATTAATAAAACCTACAGCCCTTTGTACTTGTGCTTGTTTTTCTCCTATCTCCAAAAAGCCCTTCATGCTATCACCCTGTTCTTAAGTCTCTCTCTTTCACTATCAAATCTCCTACAACCTCTCAATATGCTTCAAATACTGTATGTCCTTACACTTGCAACTTGTACATTCATCTGAAATTATTTATCAGTGATGAATAGTGTAGCGAGTCTGTACATCTTCATTTTAGATTAGAAAAAAATAACTTCAATATGTATTGCTGCAGATTCAGACAGATTATTTAATTTACCTTTGCTCTTGTTATCCCAGATTTCTTGCAATTGTGCAATTTTTTTAGATGAATAACAAATTCTGCTTCTGTTCTCAACTTTCAGCTAGTTTATCTACAACCTTATTTCCTTTAATGCATATATGAGCTAATATTCAACAAAACTGTGCATCTATTTCTATTGAAGTGTCATATATACATTCACCAGCCACTTTATTAGTTACACCTGTAATTACAAGGCGTTTCTGCTGTGTAAACTGATATTTGCTATTCTGCAATGCATATGCCTATTCCTACATGTAAATGTTCATTATTTTGGATCCATCTGTTAAAATATATAAATACTTATGATGCTTCAGAACCTAAAGTCAAAAAGGGACAAGAAGCAAGGATATTTTTAAACACATGACTATTTGCATTATTACTTATAATTAAGCTGCAGATTTATTACATCAGAGCTTTCAGAGTACATTTTCATAATGCTGTAAGCATTTATGTCAGGAATAAGAGCTGGATGCACAAATACTATGACACTAAGACGCAAAGACAGACCAGAGGTGGCCAAACAAAGTAACAATGTATTTATCACACAACGGTGCAATGCTGATAGCGCTGTATAGTGTTCAGCATCATTCAAACTTGATGAAACATGAAAAGAAAAACAGAATTCAGACAGCAGCAGCGCCCACAGATGCTGTGCAAATACCATTCATACAAATATCCAAAAAGTCAGGTCCTGGGCAGATAATGATGAAGTCAGTATTATCAGACACACATACATCCTTACTGCAATCAGAGCATTTGAAAAACAGTACTTCATACAGACATACAATATCATGTCTCCAAAGATGTCTTCACTCATCCCCCACTCTATATTCTTTTGTCAATCTTAAATGTGTGTATACAATCAAAACACATCCCACATTCTTATAACTGACCATGGTCCCAGCTCGGATTTCAGGATATTTTCTCTAATTGGGCTAATTACAGCTGATACTGACATTCAACATCCCAGCCTAGGACATCACAGCTCAACAACTTTCTTTCTCAAATAAAAACTATATTATCAGTTTTAAACTGCAGTGTTACATTATTAAAAGTTCTATTATTTAAATATTCCAGCACACAGATATGGAACTGCCTCTCTCTGTACAATACCCATTTCGGTTCAACTGCAATTTTTGACCATTTCTTATAGGATGTAGCTCCCATGCTCCTAAAATATCCCAGTTGTTCATCATACTATCCCAGTACTGTGCAAGTAAAGCGTGGTTGCACGCATCAATTATTACAATATGAAAATAAATTTGGAACTAGGCAAAACACTAATCTGAGGCCGGTTGTTAGAAGACCAATACCATCATACAGAGAAGAGAGCTTTTCTGTTGCTTTACTTCTTAGCCTTTCCCTGAGCAGCCACGGCCTCCATGGCTTTGCGTACAGTCTCCTCATCCCCGAGGAACTGCATCGGCTTCACAGGCTTCAGGTTCTTGTCGAGCTCATACAGGATGGGGATGCCTGTGGGCAGGTTCAGCTCCATGATGGCTTCATCCGACATTCCTGCAGGTGGCAGCACAAAAAAAACAGAACGCTGTCACTGTTCATACTTTTTATATGCTCACTGAGCATTTTATAAAGACCAGTGAGGTTTTCCTACAGGGTACTAACTGAAGCTTTGCATTTAAATTCTGTAGTGCCACTAACCCTCCAGATGTTTTACA